AAAACACTGCCCTCCTGGGCTCAGAAGCAGAGGAAGATGTGCAAGACAGGGCTGGGGGGAGGCTGCCCTTGGTCTCCCCCTGGATCCAGTAGGTGTCCCAGGCAGTGACAGACAGAAATTCAGCAGGTGCAGCCTTCCTCTTTGCAATGTCCTTGGAGGAGAAGAGATTTGGCTGCCTTCCTGTCAGTCCAGGCGACATTTTTGGACTGGTACAATTTTTTAAAATAATTTTTTTAATTAACGGTTTTAAACAGAAGATAAAACACTAACAAGAACGAATAGAAAGTGAAAGGACAAAGGAGCAAAGAAAATGCCCAAAGTTCAGAAAGAAAAAATAGAAGCGGCTTCCGATTTTCTTTACAGCAATTATAAGTAAAAATAGAAAATGACCTCTTACTCAGTGGATACAAAAACAAACTCTCTTTATTCCATTACCCTTTTTTAATCCTGTTTTTTAATTCAGGATTTTAAACAGAAGATAAAAACTAACCAGAATTTTTGGACGGATATGATCGGACCAGTCAGAAGAAAAGAGGGCAGTGAAAAAGAGGGGAGGGGAGGGAAGGGGGCCGCTAAGTCATGAATTTGTGGTGAATTTGCCCTGTTTGGTACACCGTGGCCACATCTCGTCAGGTGCTGGGAAGGGGCGCCAGGAAGCTTTGTGTTTTCGTGGCAGGAGATGGAGACTTTTGACTGGGAGGGGAGGGGAAATTCCACAAGTATCTGGAAAAACTCCCAAAGGCACCTCTTGCCCGGGGATCCCCCCACTGATCTGCGCCGCTTGCGCTCAGCTCTTTCCTCCAAGCCCAGCTGGGCTGGTCCTCTTTTCCTGTTCTTGCTATTTCCCAAGTGAAAATGGCCATCGCGTTTTCTGGCCACACAGAGCAGGGCTGGGGGAAAACATTGCTCTCGTTTGTTTTTCTCACTTCTATAGCCCAAGGTGGGTCGGCCTGGTTTACCCCTGGTTCTGCGCCAGCCCGACTCGGGCAAAGCAAACCCAGGCTCTGGTGCCGGGCGAGGGCGAGAGGCAGAGGCTGCCCCTGCCGGCGTTTTTGCCCCAGAGGCAGTAAATCGCAGCCCGTTTCTCCTGCGCGGAGGATGCCCGCCCTGCCGATAATCTGCAAATCGGAGTTACAGGAGCTGCCGGGGAAACTGGCAAATGATCGTGGCAGTCGGTCTTTCCCGGGTGGGTGCGGGGTGGGTGCAGCCGGGAGAGGAGAAGGAGCCGCCCTGGGTGTGTGACAGAGGCCTTCGGAGGCTCGGCAGGCTGCGTGCCCAGCGCATCCGCGGCCGGTTCGGTT